GGAAGGACGCCGCTCACAGCGGGAGACTGTGTGGGCTTGTTGTTCCTGTATTTAGCTCTTTGTGAGGACCAAATGTCCTCATAATGATAAGAAAGCATGAAAAATCTGTATAACTGCTCCTCACAAGAAAACATGCTGCTTTCACCACAAATCCAACTATTTTTGGAAAAACTAACAGCCTAGAGCTGAATAATTTGGGGAAAATTCATATTGTGATTTTTCTGACCTATATTGTGACTGTCATATAAATTATTTCCTATAAAGTTAAGTTTTTTTGGGGCATTAAACCCAGGTATGAACACTTAATGTACTGTGCCAGACTGCCAGTTAGTTGTGGTTGTGATGTCACAGCATACAGGTGTTTGGTTGTTCCTGATTGGTCTAATATATCTACAGGCAGTCCAAGAGCTCTGTGTTGTTAGGTGGGGTTGCTCCACTTAAACCTTGCTAGGACATCATTTTTAGTAATGTAGCTGTAATTAAAATTGCAGCTCTTGTGATTAGAAAGTTGCACTCTTTTAAATTGCGAATTTTAATATTAACACAATTAATCTTTCACAATTAATCTTTCTGTTGGTTCCTAAGGTTCAGATTAGAGCAGATATTTGCCAAAAATAAGCTCTACAGTGATATTCAACACACATGAGATTGTTATCAAGGACAAACAGTGTAACCAGAGAGTTTTTAGAGTCCCCACAAAGATATATATTAGGGCTGCTAAATGGTTAAAGCAATTAATCATGATATTTTGTGCGTTTTATTGCAATTACACTCTTTTATTGTATGCTAGACTAACACCAACACCAACTAACGCAAGCACTAACACTAACACAAAACAAAACGCTTCCAGTAACACCGGAAGTAAACACAACAGCAAAACCTAGAGCTAACACTAAAGGTACACTAGAGATAGTGAAAAAGAGAACATTAGAGCTAACACTAGAGCTAACACCACAAAGAACATTAGCATTAACACTAGAGCTAACATAAGAGCTAACACTAGAAACAACATTAGAGCTAACAGTAGAGAGAACATTAAAGCTAATACTAGAGCTAACATTACAAAGAACATTAGCATTAACACTAGAGCTAACATAAGAGCTAACACTAGAAAGAACATTAGGGCTAACAGTAGAGAGAACATTAGGGCTAACAGTAGAGAGAACATTAGCACCAACACTAGAGGTAACAGAGCTAACACTAGAGAGAACATTAGTGCTAACACTAGAATTAACATTAGAGCTAACAGTAGAGCTAAGAAAAGTGAGAACATTAGCGCTAACAGAGAGAACATTAGAGCTAAAACTAGAGCTAACATTAGAGCTAACAGTAGAGAGAACATTAGAGCTAAAACTAGAGCTAACATTAGAGCTAACAGTAGAGAGAACATTAGAGCTAAAACTAGAGCTAACATTAGAGCTAACAGTAGAGAGAACATTAGAGCTAAAATTAGAGCTAACATTAGAGCTAACAGTAGAGAGAACATTAGAGCTAACACAGGTGGCTACCAATAGAAGAACACTACAACTAACACTAGGTTAAACGCTGGACCTAGTGCTAACAGCAGAGTTAAAAAATAGGTACACCAGAGCTAACACTAGTGCTAACTCTAGAGGTACACTAAAGCTAACACTAGTGCCAACACTAGAGTTAACACTAGCTCTAACAGTATAGCTAATGCTAGAGGTACATTAGAGATACATTAGAGGCTAATACTGGAGCTAATAAAAGAGCTAACACTACAGCTAAAAGTGATAATACAAAGGACACACATGTGAGTGCATTACTGTTATCTCCATGCGGAATATTTTATTTACTAAAAGACCATTCTCACTGCATTCAATAAATCTGGAAGCGTAAATAGTAGCGTTAAGCGATTTCCAGTCGCATTGTAAACAATGGCTGGAGGATCTACTAGACCTGCTAACCGCTCTCCTGTTGGCTGCGCTGGGGCTGAAGGAAGATTTAGGAAGGCTAAAACTGGCGACCCTCCACTGTAGCTCTGTTAAACAGCACAGGTGGAAGTTCAATAACACTGATATTTACAGCTGGATGTGACGACGCAGTGATTTTAGGAACGATCCATACATGCTAAACTGGTCTTATTCGATCTTAGTGCAGCTTTTGATAGTAGTGATCACAAGATTGTAATCCACCATCTTGAATTCTGGGTCGGCCCTCTCGGGCACAGTTTTAGAATACTTTATATCATATTTAGGTGGTAGACAGTTCATGGTTTCATTAGGAAATCGTTCATCAACAAAATTAAACATTTCTTTTGGAGTCCCACAGCATTCAGTTTTAGGGCCTTTTCTTTTCTCTTTGTAATGCTACCTCTAGCTGATGTCATTAGGAAACATAACATTAATTTTCATAGCTATGCTGACGACACACAGTTATACATTTCAATTCCTTCTGATGATCAAGACTAGCTGTGTGTCAGATATTTCTCACAAAATTTTCTACAACTAAATCATGAAAAAACTGAAATACTGATTCTCAGTACTAAAACTCAGAGAAAGCTGCTTTATAGGAAGCTCGGCTCTTTAGCTTGATATCCCAAACCTGCAGTAGAAACCTGGGTGTGATCTTAGACTCTGAGCTCTGTTTTATATGCATGTAAACAAAGTCACTGAAGTTGCTTTTTATCATGTAAGAAATATCACTAAAGTTCAGCCTTTTCTCTCTCAGAGAAACCTGTTGTTTGTTCAGCAAAGTTGATCACTGTAATGATCTTCTTACTGGAGAAGACAGTCCATCCTCTACAACTCATACAGAACACAGCAGCACAGATCCTCACAACACCAGTACAGAGAGCTCATATCACCCCGTTTACACACTGCACTGACTGCTTGGATCTTTTAGGAGAGATTTTAAAGCTCTGCAGCTGGTTTTTAAAGCTCTAAATGACCTTAAAGCTCCTGAATGTCTGTCTGTTTATGATCTTAGATCTGCAGATACTGACCTTCCACAAACACCTTCTGTAAAATACAGAAAATGTGGAGGGACTCTTTCTGTTATTCTGCTTCAAAACTGTGGAGCTCACTTTTAATAAACATCTGAAAACGCAGCTCTTTAACTCAGCGCTTCATTAAAACTCTACATCTCTTTAGTGTTTATCTCTTTAGTCTGATCTGTGTTTTTGTCTTTTATGATTCTAAATTAATACTCATAGTTTCATATGTCACTGTTAAGCTTTATCAGCTGACAGTTAAGCACTCTGAGCTGCCATTGACATGAAAAGTGCTTTACAAATAAAGATTACTATTATTATTGCTATTATTATTGCTATTATTATTTAGGTCTGCAACAAACGACTAATTTCATAGTCGAATAATCTATTGATTACTGAAATGAATAATCGATTATTTGGATTATGAATCACTACATTACCAGTTAACTTTTATGTCGTTTTAGCTTTTAAATTTAGCTTGAGGTTGTTTTATACATTTGCTAACTAACAATGAAGACAATAAAGATGAATAACATTCAAGAATTCACTGCTTTAATGAACTTTTCTAACACAAAAGATAAAAAAATAAAACTTCAATGCATTTTTTATCTGTCAAAATTTATAACCAAGGACGTGCCAAGTAGCAGCAATAAAATAACAAAGTAAATCAGTTTTTCTTTAATCAAACAAATAAAGAAATCTAAATTTAAATGTTAAATTTAAACTGCAGTCCGTGATCTGTTCATTCTGCTGTCTGTCTACACTTTGCTGCAACTAAATTTTACAATCACAGCTCTTTAGTAAAACGAAGGAAAGTCAGCATCTCTCCGTGCTCCCACATGGAGAATGTGCTCCCGTGCCAGCTAAGGTCGGCTTTACAAACAGCACAACTGACAACTTTTTTCTGAGTTTAGCTCCACACTTTTGAGGATTTTTTCTTGAAGCTGCCATCGTGCTGTTGTTAACTCTCCAGTGAGCGGTAATGTCAAAACGTTTCTAGTGAGCGTGAGAAAGACGCGTAATGACATCACCAACTAATCGACTACTAAATTAGTTGCCAACTAATTTGGTCGTCAATTTTAGTCCACTAAGTCGAATAATCATTGCACCCCTATTATTTTATTCTATTGACAGATAATTTGTTTTGTTTTGAAATGTGCATTTCCTGAATGAAATTCAGAATTGTAGCGCAGCTTAAATGGTTCCCACTTCCTGCTAGGTTCCTACGTGGTTGCTGTGGTATCCAAAGTGGTTGCTATGGTGTTGCTAGGTGTTTGATATTGTATCCCAGGTGGTTGCTAAGGGGTTGCTATGGTATCACAGGTAGGTGTTAAGGTGTTGCTAGATGGTTGCTATGGTATTCCAGGTGGTTGCTAGGGGACTGCTAGGTAGTTGTTATTGTAGCCCAGGCGGTTGCTAAGGTGTTGCTAGGTGGTTGCTATGGTATCTCATGTGGTTGCTAAGATGTTGCTAGGCAGTTGCCATGGTATCTCATGCCACTGCAAAATTGTTGCTAGGCAGTTGCCATGATGTTTAAGTCTTTCATAGGGAGTAGTAGCTACATGTTGCTGAAAATGAATAGGGGTCTATGAGAGGAAGGAGCGATGAAAAGCGACACATAGAGGATTGTGGGTCATTATGGCTGTTGATTAGAGCTTGAGGACCTGCCCTGCGTGAGTTCATGCAGTTCAGTTGCTGGAGATGGAACAGTGTTTATACCTGAAAAACTGCGGGGATGAGTTACAGTGAAAAAGTCCGGCAGAAAAAAATAATAATAAAAAAGAAGAAGTATAATATAAAGCGAAGAACAATATAGTATTGCAAAGCAATGCACAACCATAATAATGTTGTAATATTCTTATAACAATCACAAAATGAGAAATAATAGACATATTTCCTCAGCCTAAGAGGATCCCCCAAATGCAGTTTAAGGTGCATGTCATTAGGTTTGGGTAGCTGGGGTGTGATTTTTGTCCGAACTGTCGCTTTAAGAGTGTGCAAACATAAACGTGCACACTCAGCGTGTGAATGAGAGCGGTGGTCTTACCGTGATGGTGGGGATGGCGGTCACGAGTGAGTAGACGAGTACAGGTGGTGCTCTGCTGGAGTCCTCGGGGCCGGGGTACGGTTTGGAGAACGCTTTATCGTAGCAGAAGAACCCCTGGATGTGGACGGGGAACGTATCGGTGTACTCAAAATAATACGCCAACAGAACTGTCCCAGCCATGATCACCAACTGGAAATAAAACATCACCCAAACAGAGAGAGACACAGAGAGGATGTGAGGATAAACTGAGAGAGAGAGAGAGACAGAGAGAGAGAGAGAGAGAGAAAGAGATAGAGAGAGGATAAAAGAATCAGTGCTGTGAATGAATGGAGAGGAACAGTGTGGAAAAGGAAACAGAGCAAAAAATAGAAAGTAGATGCAAGCCCTTCAGCTGAGCGAGCAGAGAGAGAGAAAAAGAGAGAGAGAGAGAGAGAGAGAGAGAGAGAGAGAGAGAGAGAGAGAGTAAGAGGGAGGGAGAAAGAGAGGGGGGATGCAAACAGAAAAAATGAAATGCTCAGTGTTAGTGAAACTGAAAAAGGAGATGGGAATGAACAGGAGGAGAGAGAGAGAGACAGAGAGGGAGAATGAAGAGGGAGGAGAGGGGAGGGGAGGGGAAAGAAAGTGATAAAAGAAGGAGAAGGATCAAGAGCACAAGAACAAGCCTGGAAAAAGAGGAAAAGAGGACAGAGAGAGAGAAAAAGAAAGAGAGAGATGGACAGAGAGGGAGAGAGAAAGTTGAAGAGAGAAGAAAAAGAGAGTTGTAGCGAGAGATTAGCAGAGAGAAAGAGAGAGAGGAAAGAGAAGGAAAAAGAAAGAGATAGAGAGAGAGTAAGTAGAAGAGAGAGATAAAGACAGAGTAAGAGGGAAGAGAGAGGGATAAAGCAGAAGATCAAGAGTATGAGAACAAGGCTGGAAAGACAGGAAAAAAGGGAGAGAGGGAGAGCAGAAAGGAAAAAGTAAAACGTTTGGCAAGAATGGGAATGAACAGGAGGGGGGAAAGAGAGAAAGAGAGAAAATTAGGAGGGGGTAAAGGGGAAATCAGAGAGAGGGATGAAAGGAAGAGGAAGATCAAGAACACAAGAACAAGGCTATAGAGAGAGAGAGAGAGAGAGAGAGAGAGAGAGAGAGAGAACTGATTATACTGATCTTTCTCACTCTGTTGGAAATTAAAGGGGAAGTGTCTGACATTTATAATGAGTAATGAGCAAATACCCAAATATCTCAGAGCTCCTACAGACTCTCTGAGCAGCGTATGAGTAGCTGTATGTGGTGTGATGCTGGGACACACTGACTGTAGTTCAGATATGGAAGAGAAATCTGAATTTAATCACATGCTAATTTTATGCAGATATTTATTCTGCAGTGGGGGGACAGCGGAGTCAACAGTCCCTTTAACAGCGACAGCAGAGACAGCGGCGAGGTGGAGACACAAGCCTGAAAGAATATTTACCACCAATGAAAGATGAAAAATGTTTTTAAAAGCAGGCGGGCAAAAGTACAGGGTGTAATTAATTTGGCAGTCTTCTAGCAGATTTTTATTTGAAGCTCATTATGTTAATATGAGCTTTGCCCTGGTGGCTGCAGCTTAATCTTCTGCTCTCGTGGAGCTGCAGCGACTCGAGTAATCTTTTTATGTAAATTAAACTTAGAATAACAGCGTTTGCCCTCAGCTCAACTTTCATACGATAAAATAACAACTACAGAAACGCCTCCTAATCACCAAACCAGCTTAGTACACGACTGACTAAAACCCATCATCATTATCATCACCATCATCACTATTATCATTACCACAACCATCATCACTTCTATTATCATCACCACCATTACAATCATCATCACTACTATCATCATGACCACTATCACCGTCAACACCAATATCATCATTGCCACCATCACCACCATTGCATCAACATCACTATCACCACAATCACCATCAACATCATTATCATTACACCATCGCTATCATCACTACTATCATCATCACCATCATCACTACTATCATCATCACCACCATCACCATCAACACCACATCACCATCATCACCACATCACTATCAATACCATTATCACCACATCACTATCATTAACAACACCATTGTCATCACTACCACCATCACCGCCATTATCACCACCACCATCACCATCATCAACACCATGATCATCGCTACTACCATCATCACCACCCTCACCTCCTCACCATCAATACTATCATCACTACCATCACTACTATCACCACCATCACAACAGCATTATGATCATCACACGATCAATATCATCTTCATTATCACCATCATTATTTTCATTATCATCACCACCATCACCATCAACACCAGTATCATCACCACCATCATCAATCCCTACCATCGTCTCTATTATCATCATTACTATTACTACCATTATAATAATCATCACTGTCCCCATCACTCTCAGAATCACATCACATCCCCATAATCTTTATCATATCATCACCGTCCCCATCATCACTATCCCTAACACCATTATCACCACTGCCACCATCGCCATTATCACAATGACCATGACCATCACCATCATCATTGCATCATCATTACCCACAACATTATCACTACTATTATCACCACAATCACTGACATCACTTTGACCATTGCATCATCACATCACCATCACAATCATCACCACTTTGCTTATAATCATTACTTCCATCATCATCACCACCACCAGCATCATCATCACCATCCTGATCATTACTAGTTTTGCCTTGGCAAACATTATCACCACCATTAGCACCTCACTACCACCATCATCATTACCCACAACATTATCACTACTATTATCACCACGTTACTATCATCACCTTCACCACTGCATCATCACATCACCATCACAATCATTACCAACACCATTGCATCACCAAATCACCATCATTATCGTCCTCATTATCATCATTCCCATCATGACCATCATTACCAACACCACAATGACTACCACCAAAATCACTGCCTTTTCACCATTATCACCACTTTGCTTATAATAATCACTTCCATCACCACCACCACCATCATCATCATCACCATCCTGATTATTACTAGTTTTACCTTAACAAAAATTATCACCACAATCACCACCATTAACACTTCACTACCACCACCATCATTACCATGACATCATCAAATCACTATCACCACCATCACAATCATCACCACCACCATTGCATCACCACATTACCATTATTATTGTCCTCATCATCATCATCAGCCCCTTCATGACCATCACCAACATTATCACCACCATGACTACCACCACCAACACTGCTATCACCACTGTCACCACTGTGCTTATCATCATCTCTACAATCAAAATCATCACTGCTATCAAAATCCTAATCACCACCTTTACCTTCACCACTATTATGACCATCACCACCATTACCACTATCACTATCACCACCATCATTACCATGACCACTATAAATCTCACTATTGTAACATCACATCACTATCGCCACCATCACAAACATTACAGCCATACACCACATCACCATTATTATTGTCCTTCTCATTATTGTCATCATTGTTCTCATCATCACTATCATCACCAACACCATCACGATCATGACTACCACCATCATCACTGCTATCTCACCATCATCAACGCTGTGTTTATCATCATCACTACAATCACCACCACCATCATCACCATCATCATTATGCTGATGAACACCACCCTTACCTTGACCAAAATTATCGCCACCATCACCACCACTATCAGGATGATGCATGGCTTTGAAGGGATATTTGATTATGTCAAATGTTATAAATATGAATTATCTGCTATAATGTTAGCATTGCTATCTAGCATTAGCTATAGTGATGTATGATGAGAAATAAAATGAGCTGGTTTTAAGGAAAGTCTGAATTTCTCTCTGAGTTAAACCAGACAGAGAGAGAGAGAGACAGACAGACAGAAAAGAGAGAGAGAGCAGAGACAGAGGGAGAGAGAAATAGAGAGGGGGAGGGAGGTGGAGAGAAAGAGAAGAGAGAGAGTGGGGGAAAAAAGAGAGGGAGAGAAGAAAGAGACAGAGAGGGGGAGAGAGAAAGAGAAAGAGGGAGCAAGGTGGAGAGACAGAGTGTAGAAAGAGAGAGGGGAGAAAGAGAGGGAGATACAGAGAAGAGAGAGAGGGAGAGAAAGAGAGAAGAGAGAAAGAGAGAAAGAGAGTGAAGGACTCTATGTATCTGCCGACTCCACTTATAATCATCTCAGCTCAGAGACGGGGGTCAGTGTGAGGTCAGAAAGCTTCAGGCAGAAAACACCACTTACTGACAGAAACATTAAAGAGCCCATTTGCTACATTTCTTCATGTGTTATTTCCCGGTTAAATTTATACTTTATGTGATTTTATGTACCGAAAATATTATAATAATTAATTTCAACCTTTCCAACCAGTCCAGGCTGAAACGCTGCGTATAACCTCAGCATGCATAGGTAGAGCTAAACTGCTGTAGGGTAAATGGGTGGGGCTAAACTGCTGTAGGCTAAATGGCTGGAGCTAAACTGCTGTAGGCTGAATGGGTGGGGCTAAACTGCTGTGGGCTGAATGGGTGGAGCTAAACTGTAGGCTGAGTGGGTGGGGCTAAACTGCTGAAGTCTGAATGTTCAGGGCTAAATTGCAGTAGACTGAATGGATGGAGCTTAACTGCTGTAGGTTGAATAGGTAGGGCTAAACTGTTGTAGGCTGAAAGGGGCGGGGCTAAACTATTGTAAGCTGTATGGGCGGGACTGTTTTTTGCAGTTTTAACTGGGGTGTGAATAGTACATTTTCAATGTTTGAACACTACATCACACTAAAAGCTTCTGTATAGTAATAATAACAATAACAATAATAATAATAATATTGTATAGCATCTTTTATACATAATGCAGCTGAAAGTGCTTCACTGCAGGTGACAAAACGATAATAAAATATGTAAATGTCCATAAAAAATTCACATAACAAGCACATCAAGAACAGGTGAAATAAAATTGAAAGAGACAAAAGGAATAAAATAAGCAATAATCGTAATAATAGTAAAGCCTTCTGTAAACTGTGTCTCATCTCTGTGAGTGTTGGTAGATGTTGGCGTTCCTCTCTGTCAATCTACTGCACTCTGATTGGTCAGACAGAATGAATGGTGTGTTGCTGCCCTCTGCTGGTTATTCTCAGTACTGCAG